AAGTAGTAAGTAGTAGTATTTGTACAAATTCCATATAAAGTAGTATGCAGTAGTATTTGTACAAATACCAAGCTTGCTTGGACTCGTGCGAAATTTGGTAGCAATGAGACAACTTGTTAGAATCAGCTGGGTCGTTTTAAGAAGTCTTTTGGATAAATGCCCGTTTTCTATCTGAGGCAGGCGTATCAGATCTTGCTGAACGATTATAATTGTCACTTGCCAAAAGTTGTTGATAGGCGGCGAACACATTTTCTTCTCCGGCATCTTGTCCTTTCGTGCTTGTGTCGTTTGGCATCAGATTTTCGAAACTCTTGGAGTCGAATCAATTGCAGGAATGATGGACCAATAGAATTTGACCACTCGAAGCAATCTAGTCGCGAAATCTGAAAGAGTTACGAGCTGTAATCATCGATTGAATGAAATCTTAAAATAGTATTTCTCTTTTCACTGTCGAGGAGTGTCTTCTAAATCGGCATACACCTTTTACTTGTTTCTCTGTCTGTATATATATATATATATATATATATATATATATATATATATATATATATATATATATATGATTGAGGGACTGCTATCGAATCTTATCAAAATATAAATCTACGCCCTTGATTTCTTTCCAATCTCACCTTTCCAGAAAGAATTGCTACTTTCCCAAACCAAAATACACGACCAGAAATAAGTTGAAAAATGAACATGAAAATGGTTAAATTCATCACCTCATGGTTTTGAAGATGTACAGCAAATACGTCCATCCCACGCCATAACAATCTGTTCATAATTTAAATATTTATTTAAAAAAAAAATTCTCGAATATTACTCTCTTACTTTTTGCCAAACATTGAATTATGGCACTTTGTGTCCTCCATATGTTTTGACTGACTTTTCAACCACCTGATGAACATTCATGAACATTCTCAAATTGAAAAGCCTTGACAAAACACTGACATCCCTGCTTTTGTATATAAACACGTGCAACAAAATAAATTTATATTGCCTTGATAAAGTTCCTCAGAGGACGAAATACTTTGGCTAAGAATAGTTTTTCATCTTGTCTTTTTATTCAGTTTTTTCTTCTACAGATAAACACTATCGGAAAATAATTTATTCACACACACACACACACATACATACATACACACACACACACACACATATATATATATATATATATATATATATATATATATATATATTGACGATTGCATCTAGCATGAAACAGACTGTCGCCTCTAAGTGTTGACTGCTATGTTCACTTTTATATTTACACGCTCTATCTCTGATATTTATCTCATAAATATAGCACATCTTAAGACTATATTTTCTTTATATATATATATATATATATATATATATATATATATATATATATATATAAGTGCTCAATATCCGTGATAGAGCTTCATAGGCAGTTGCATCGAGAGTTGTTTGTGACCTTAGGTTTCACGCTTCAGACAATTTTTCTTTGAAGATCGCGAGAGCCTGAAGATAAGGTCACAAACAACTCTCTATGCTACCGCATATATATATATATATATATATATATATATATATATATATATATAGATAGATAGATAGATAGATAGATAGATAGATATCGATATAGGTATATAGATATATAGATATTGATATATAAGAAAAAAGTCTATTCTAATTATTCTCGCTCCATAATTCTCTTTTTTCTTATTCTTTCACACTCAGTGACCGCTTGCGTCTTAGTGGCTTCATTGCCTTCCTTGGAGTGAAACGAAAAAAGTAGACAAAAAGATATATCAAACCAAAATTCCTTAAATGAAGACTTCCCAAAGATTATGAACAATCCTGACACCTAAATATTTACACGGTGTATAAACTATGACTATCCATTATCTTATGTCTTTGCTCATCTGGCATCCTTTGTCTGTATCTTCTCATTTCATGCCTTATCCTTTCCAATACTAATGAGATTATCCATCATCATTGGTCATCTGTCATCTTTTTCCTGTATCTTTCTTGCTCATACTTTTGCCTTGAAAAAGAGAGCGAAATGCGTTTTTCATATTGTTCGTTTACGTGAAAATACGAGAATCTTACTTGTTTTTTAAGCTACCCTTTCATATATATATATATATATATATATATATATATATATATATATATAACAACTAAAAAGTCGCAAATTAAAAAAATAATAATGTTTTATATGAAAGTATTTATTTATATTTTTTTATATATATTTTTTATATTTATTATGTAGTTTTGATATTTCAGATCGACCTCGATCTTTCTTCAGAAATAATATATATATATATATATATATATATATATATATATATTGATGCATGTTTCATTAAATAATATAGTTTTGGCCTGACGATTGCATCTAGCATGAAACAGCCTGTCGCCTCTAAGTGTTGACTTCAATGTTCACTTTTATATTTTACACGCTCTGAGCACTTTATCCCATAAATATACATCACCTTAAGACTATATTTTTATATATATATATATATATATATATATATATATATATATATATATATATATATGTATGTATATATATATAATGTTACAAATTCGGACCCTGGGTCTGGTCAAATTCATATTTCCTCATAAGTAGAATCTCTGTCTCTGTCTGTCTGTCTGTCTGTCTCTGTCTCTGTCTCTGTCTCTCTCTCTCTCTACACACACACACACAGCGGACATAGACGAGACGTCTGGAAATTAAAGCGTGTCAAGGTCGCGTGCGTGTCGATTGGCGGTGTTAAATGATAGTTTAGCAGACTATTATGTTTTTAGTGCAAGTATATCTTGGCTACGACTTCCGGGGGTTGACCTTTGAGGTCTGATGGAAGCTATAATAAAGGAGTCGATTTTGATTGGCTGAGCTTGAGTGGGATAGATAGACAGAAAAAAGTTTTTCAGCGAGTTTTCAAGCAATGTAGACGTGTTCACTTTCGTGTCTGGGACGATTCCACTGTATAATTAGAAAATGTACACGTCGACGTGAATAATAAAACTAGATAAGTTAAAATTCTCCACGTTTGATATCATTCATTGCTAACTAAAACAACTTGCGATGGCCGGCCAATAGAAGACGAGATCAGACGAAACCTCCACCAAGGGCTTATGCTACATGAGTAGAGATTTATCCCTCGTTTCCTGTTTAGGATTTGATTTCCGGTTTAAGCCTTATTTCTTCATTATGTGACCTAGAAATTTCAACCCTCTCTTCCTGACGTTAGGTATAAATTACCTTTTTGTTTCGTCGTTGCTCAAATGTTCAGTCCATCGTCTCTTTCTGTACAAGCACATTTCTATTGCTTGAAGTCTCTTCTTCATCTTTGAAGAGATTGCAGAGCATTCAGTGCCATATAGTAGGGCAGATATCACGTAACTGTTCAGTACTTTTTTCTTTGTTTCTAAAGAATTTGTTCTAATTTTTAAGACTGTTTAACTTTTGGAATGCATCTTTGACTATCCCAATGCGTCTTAGTATTTCAGATAGTTATATTTTTTTACGATTTTGGTATCGCCAATTTGTAATTTGCATGTTGGGCTCACCATTTTGCTAACAACCGTGCATACTGTCGTCTTTTTACAGTTGATGTTTAATCATTTCTTTTCGCTTTCCTTTACAATCTTCTGTAGGAGTTTCTGTAGTTTTTTCCGTGTCTGCTATCAACACTGTGTCATCTGCATATCTTATGTTGTTAAGATTGCGGCCGCCAATAAGTAATTCAGGAATTCTAGTTCTCTCAGAATGAATAACAAAAAATATAACTTCCAGAAGGTCATGAGGACGTATATTCAAGCAAATTAGGGATTCTCAATTAAAAAAAAAATTACGAAAATATATTTGATAACTTCAATACATAGAATTAATTGGGGAAAAAAAGCCTTCTGAATTATTTGTCTAGTACGGTATTTCTCAGCTGCAGCACATCGCACTTGATAAATAAGAAAATAACTGATTACAACATTACAATAATATACTGTGTGTATTAAAAATCCTTTGACAAACTTTGGGACCGGGTTCCGCACACCAAAACAAGGTCAAAAGTCTCTTTAAACACTTGTACAAATTATTTGAAACAACCGCTTTAGTTCGATTTCTTTCACCATTCGGCCAGTTTTATACCCACTGGAGTGACAAGGTGTGATCGATTTTTACTTTTTCCTCATATTAGGTCATTTGCAGGAGTGTGCAGTAATGTGAATCTATTTTCGGAGTGTATGATGTAATTTGTTCGGCCTTGAAAAATACTGCGTCATCCGTGATTGCATCAGATTTATATCACGCCCAGACATTATTGTCTCGACTGTCGATTAGTTGTCCTACGGCCATTGTCTGTAATGGACGTTACTCCAAGGAAGCGTACGAAAATTGTAACGCTTCATGAACACACTGGCAAGCCTTACCAGTGAGCAAATCAAAGTACTATAGACTGGCCCGGTAACTCTCCTGATTTAAATCCAATCGAGAATCTGTGATCAATCTGCAAGGAACGCTTTGTGGACATAAGAAGTACTAACATGTGCACTGGGTCATGTTTCATTGGAGAAATACGAAAAAGAAGTAAATAATAATACAATTATTGATTTTTTTTCAATTAATTTGCACAAGGGTGTATGTACGCAAATCATTCGTTTTTGAGTTAAATCTAAAGAAAGTTTACGGTAGATGCGGCTCTGCTGCCATATAGGCTAGATTACATTTGTCAGTCGTGTACATTTGTGGCTAGTCTGTCTTCAACGTTTAACGTGCGTAGTAGGGAGCTAACTGAAAAGTGTCCCGTTTAACAATTGCAGGACATTCATATCGTAAGCAGGCAGATAAGATTTTTAAACACGGTCGCGAGAATGGTAAATTACTAATTAACCCATAGCTGAAGAGAGAAGTGGATTCATACCTTTCCAAAGGGTATTTGCACTTAAGTGAATATAACGAACCCAAATGGAGTTAGAACTCGGCTCTCCAATTAACAATTCCGAGCCATTATCCACGCGCACATCAAAGGTTACAGCACTTGGTATTCCAAAGCGGTCACTTATCTATGGTACTGTCCAGGCTCAACGTTGCTTAGTTTCGTAGCTCGTACGGGAACAGGTGTTTCAACGTGATGTGGCCATGTGCTTATAGAAGTTGCAATCAATACCATATCTTCATAGCTTTTCTTTGATGTCTAAATATTTAGGTGAAAGTCTTCTTTCGTTCAAGTTTCGTTTCGCTTCAGGGTGGAAATTAGAAACAGATGTTTTCAACTATAATTCTGTTCTTTCTTTATGTCTATGAATCTTTACCCCAAGTCAAGTCTCCATTATACCGATAAATGACAGTTTTTCTGTTTTTTTAAATCAATTCACCTTATACACGGTGATATTGTCATTACGACGAACGGGGATTAATGGGAGTGAAAGAGAATGAGAAAACTTTAGAAGGAACCGGAAACCCAATCCTAAACAGGACATACGGGTTAAACCTCTACTCCTGTTCAACAAACCGTTGGCCTCTCCAGTGAAATGAAAATATGCATACTTGTAATTCGATTATATTTTAACCTTTTAGATCTTGCTCTCGCTTCTTGAAGATGATTCAGACAAGCAATTCCCTGGCGCAGATTTATGGTTTAATTACCAAAAAAAAGATCTGTTTAAGACACAGAATTAGGAATTGCTTGTCTGAATCATCTTTAAGAAGCGAGAGCAAGATCTAAAAGGTCAACCAATTTAACAGTGATCTCATCTCACAATCCTCACACTTGCTCCATATGTGGCCTCCTTTGTAAATCACTAGCGGGTCTTAAATGCCACTTAAGATTAGCGCATAAACTTTCATAACTGAATCAATAAGCTGGCAGATCCTCATACGTCGAAACCGACGGGAGAGTCCATTATTTTATTTTGCCTAGATACGAAGTGCGTATACGGTTCGTTTTGGCGGCACAAAAAGTTGTTTCAGGTTTTATTCGGGGACCCATTTGCATTTCAAAATCACTGAAGGTATTGTGCATTTAATTCTCTGGCGCAGATTTATGGTTTAATTACCCCAAAAGATCTGTTTAAGACATAGAATTAGGAATCTTTAATGTTAGATCGATGATTTAGCCCACACCCTTTTTAATTTGCGCGGCCTACTTGTCTCCTCCCTTCAGCTATGGATTAAATTAAAAGTAAAGACTGGACATTCTAACTTAGGCCAGTCTTAGAGAAGGAAAACTCTGATTTCCAAACCGTGAAAAGACGGCCGGAAATCACTCCACTATATCAACTCATACGTCAAGTGGAACTCATATATACTTCACGTTAAATACATTCATTTAATCTTTCTTGAGTCTATAAATAAACATGAATCGACTTTATACTTGAGACAATATGTAAACATTGATCATGATTATACTTGAAACTATAGGTAAACATTGGTTGTGTTTATACTTGAGACTATAGGTAAACATTGGTCAGGTTTATACATTAGCTTATAGGTAAATATTGATTGGGTTTATACTTGAGATTATAGGTAAATATTAGTTGGGTTTATACTTGAGACTGTAATCGTTGATTGTGTTTATAATTGAAACCATAGAAAAACATATGTTTGGTTTATACTTGAGACTATGGATAAACATGGGTCAGGTTTATACTTCCGGCTATAGGTAAACATTGGTTGGGTTTATATTTGAGACTATAGGTAAACGTTGATCTTTCATACCTGATTCTTCCAGTACCCAACCGATACGTTATCACGTTTTCTTCTAGTGGGTGGGGTTTTATCTTTTGTAGGAAATGCAGTCGGCATATTCTGAGTTCTGCAGACAGTGTGGACCAACATGTATGATTAACATATAGTCGCTTGCACAGGTTTACTATTCATAGTATTGTATGTTCATACAAAATCTCTGTTGAACATCGCAAATCTCTAGCACCTTCCGCAGTATCAGCAAACACCTCCAAAGCAGAGTGATTTCTTTTGTCTCAGCCTGTTATTCTTTGGCGTCATTTTCTTGGCTATATATTTGCGCACGGAAAATTTTACAGCAAGAAAGCTCAAAGCGGAAGAATGAATCTTTTATCGAATAAGAAACTACCCACAATGTCTTCATTACAAGAAACAATGTTGCAGTAATTGTGACAGCTGCAAGGCGAATTCATTAGAAGAACGAAAAATGATTTAAAGACTTAGTTCACGTCAAAGCTGCCGAAAATCGATTCGTCATTTAATTCTTGTCACCAGACAGAAACATCTGTGAATAAAAGTTAAAGAAAAAGAATCACCACAGCTATTACTTCTTTTCCGCCATGTTTTTCTGTTACTTTTATTTTATATTCCTAATTCTACTAATACTACTCCACTTGTTAATACCGCTGCAGCTATTATTACTAATTTTATCCTGATTATTATTAACTAGTTTACAACTTTTACGAAAATTGTCGCAACTATTTCTAGAATTTGCGCAAGACTTGTCAAATCCAAAAAAAGTCTCTCAAATTTGTGTTCAAGCAAATCTCGTCAAATGAAAGAATTCTCGCGTGTCTCCAAAAATCCTTCGAATTCATGTTGGGTTCAAGCAAGTCTCGTCAACTCAAACAATTCTCGCCATTCTTAACAATATTTCAAATTTATGTTGGGTCCAAACAATTCAAGTCAAATGAAAGAATCTTCTCCAATCTCCACAATCTTTCGAAATCATGATGGGGTTAAGCAAGTCTTGACAAATCAAAGTGTTCTCTCCATTCTTAACAGCGATTCAAATATGTATTTGATTCCAGCAGGTCGCTTAAAATCAAAGAATTTTCGAAAATCTCCACAGTCTCTCAAATTTCTGTTGGGTTCATGCAATTCCAGTCAAATCAAAGAATTCTCGACAATTTCCACAATATTTTGAATTGATGCTGTTTTCTAGAATGTCTTGAAAAATCAAAAAAGTCTCGCAATTTTTAACAATCTTTCTGATTTCTGTTGGATTCAAGTAAGTCTTGTAAAATAAAAGATTTCTCACCAGACTCCACAGTCTCTCTAATTTATGTTGGGTTCAAGCATGTCTACACAAATCGAAGAATTCTCGCAATTCTTAACAATTTCCAAAATTTGTGGGTTCGAACAATTCACTTAAAATCGAAGAATTCATGCCAATCTCCACAATCTCCTCAATTCATGTTGGGTTCAAAATAGTCTTGACTAAACAAATGATTCTCGCCATTCTTAACAATCATTCAAATTTGTGTTGACTTCAAGCAATTCAAGTCAAAATAAGAATTCTCGCCAGTCTCCAAAATCCGACGAATTCAACTTGGATTCAAGCTAGTTTTGTCAAAATTAATTCTTACCATTCTTATCTATCGTTCAGATTGGTTTTCGTTTCAAACAATTCTCATAAAATCATATAAACCTCGCCAGTCTCCACAATCTCACAAATTCATGTTGGCTTCAAGCAAGTCTTGACAAATCAAAGAATTCTCGCCATGCATATCAATCTTTCAAATTTGCCCTACATTCAAGCCATTCTTGTCAAAACAAAGAATTTTCTTCCATCTCCAGAATCTCTCAAATTGTCTCATAAAATCAAGTAATTCTCGTCTGTCTCCAGAATCTCTCAAATTCATGCTGGGTTCAAGCAAATCTCAAATCAAAGAATTTTCATCATTCTTATCAAAATTTCAAATTTGTTTTGGATTCAAGCAAGTTTCCTAAAATAAAAAAAATTCTTGCCAATCCACGCAACGTCACTTAATTTATCTTGGATTCAAGCCAGTCAAGATAATTTAAAGAATTTTCGCCATTCTTATACTTTCAAAATTATTTTGATTTCAAGCACGTCTCGTAAAAAGAAAAATTCTCGCCAATGTCCGCAATATCCCTAGGTTCAAGCAATTATTGACAAATCAAAGAATTCTCACAAATTCTTATCAATCTTTCAAATTTATATTCGCTGAAGCAATTCTATTTCAATCAAAATTTCTCGCCAATCACTACCGAATTCAATCAAATCTTGATAAATCAAAGAATATTCGACATTCTTAGCAGCCTCTCAAATTTCTGTTGGCTACACGCAAGTCTCATAAAATCAAAGAATTGTCACTAGTCTCCAGAATATCAGGAATTCATGTTGAGTTCAAGTAAGTGTCGTCAAATGAAATAATTCACGCCATTTTTATCAGCCTCTCAAATATGTTTTAGATTCTGTGAAATCTCGTAAAATCAAATAATTCACGCCAATCTCCACAAACTTTCGAATTCATGTTGGGTTCAAGCAAGTCTTGTCAAATCAAGGAATTTTGACCATTCTTATGAATCTTTGAAATATGTTTTGGTAGTTCATGCAATTCTCATCAAATCATATGATTATCACCAATCTCCTTGTATTCATGTTACGTTCAAGCAAATCTTAAAAATCAAAGAATTCCCGCCATTTTTAACAGCGTGTTTTAGGTGTCAAGCAAGTCTCGTAAAATCAAAGAATCTTCTCCAATCTCCACAATGTCTCAAATCCATGTTGGGTTCAAACAAGTCTTCTCAAATCAAGGAATTCTCTTCGATTTCCAGAATCTCTCGAATTCGTATTGGATTCAAGAAAATCTTGGAAAATCAAAGAATTCTCGTCTGTTTCAGTAACCTCAGGAATCCATGTTGGGTTCAAGCAAATTTTGACAAATCAAATAATTCCCGTCATTCTTTACAATCTCTCGAATTCATGTTGGCTTCAAACATGTCTTGAAAATCAAAGAAAACAGACCATTCTTAACAGTTTCTCAAATTTGTTTGGGAATCAAGCTATTCTCGTAAAATCAAAGAATTCTTTGCCAATCTCCACAATCTCTCGAATTTGTTTTGGGTTCCAGCAATTCTCGTCAGATGAGAGAATTCTCAACCGTCTCTAGAATTTTTCTTGCCTTCAAGAATGTCTCCTCAATCAAAGAACTGTCGCCATTTTACACGATATCTTGAATTCTTTTTGGGTTCAAACAAATGTCTTCAAATCAAAGAATTTTCGCAAATCTCTTTGAATTACTTGGGTTCATCATCTCTAATGTGGAATCATTCATCATTCTTAACAATCCAATTCTTTTTATCTGGGTCGTTATTTCTCTGTTTCTTTAGTTCTTGGGTAACGTCCATGATTCATTCAGACAACCC